AGAATAAAGAAGAAAAGAAGCAAAGTAAAAGAAGAGAATAATAGAGAAAAGAAGTAACAAGGCTGTTGTGCATCTCCATTCGAGTGCCCAGCACACCTGGCCCCAACTTTATGCATGTTTGTCTAATGTCCTTTGTCCTTTCTGCATCTCCAGTCTCCTCCAGTTAGGTCAGGAGGACAGGAGCTCGCAAGAAAGCTCACAAGACTTGCCTACTCAAAACTGTCTTCTCCTCCACCTATTCTCTCCTCTAAAGATCTGCTAACTGGGCTGGTGCAGTGGCTCAAGTGGTAGAGTGCCTGCCTAGCAAGCATGAAGCCCTGAGTTCAAACCCTGTACCAGCAAAAAAAAAAAAAAAATCTGCTAACTGTTCTTTAATGACAGCAACACATTGACTTGTTCAACTCAGCATGAATGACACTGAGCAAGTGCCCTACACAGAGTCCTGGGCTAAGGGGTGTAAAGAATATGAAAACAAGTGAACTTGGTTTCTGCCCTCCCAGGACTCATACACTGGTAGAGGAGGCACAGGCTTAACTCTGATACACAGCAGCTAAGGGCTCAGGATTTGACCTGGGCCTATGTTGGGGAACTCACAAGTAGGAAGAACAAGCAGGCAGACCAGCATGCTAGGCAGAGGGAACAGATCTGAGCAAAGGCATGATCACTGTATGGTAGATTCATGGCAAATCTGGTGGGCTGAAGTCTCTAGACTGAAAAAGGGCAGGATGGTGGAAGGAAAGGCAGAAAAGGAGGCTAGGGTAGATCTGTGACTAGCCTTCAATACTGCATTAAGAGATTTGAGTTTGTTATGTGAAGGGGAAGGGCCCTTAGTGGATGTTTGGTAAGTGGGATCCTGCTGGGGAATGTGGGTAAGCCTGTTCTCTTCATTCACCTCTCCTGAATTGGTGTCATATTTTTTTGTTTGTTTAGACAGGGCCACACTATATAGTGTAAGCTAGTCTTTTTTTTTTCCAGTATAAACTTTCAGTTTTAATTACAAGTCATATTGAACCTTTATTCAGAACAATTTGACAAGGCCTTATAAGCTGAAGTCCATGAACTTTTCATTAAAAATATCCCGTGCTCTCATGCTGCACTTTTCAATTAAAAAAAATTAATCATGTTTTCTTTGTCTTGGTGGTTTATCTTATCACCAACTTTTCATGCCACAGAAAACTGGCCAGAAGTTGCTCCATCCTAGGAATTTTACAGCTAACTGGCCTCTTAGGACAATTCCCATCCAGAATTAAGTGGCTCAGTGACACCTATAACTTCATTACTCATCAACGTCCAGGAAGCTGTTAAGACTGTCAGGTTTTAATCAAGTTATTTCCCATTAAATATCTCAGATGTTTTGAGGTTTTCTCACGCATCGTGGCATCCTCGCGTAACTGCTCTGATTCATCACAGAAAGAGTGCCATTGTTCCTGCCAACACAGCTGAGCTCCGAGGTCCCGACGTAAAAGTTGTAAGCTAGTCTTGATCCTGTACCCTCAGCCTCCCGGTGGTGGCATGTACCACCATGCCACACTGTTTTTAATTCTGGTAGACTACCTGCAACATAAAATTTACCATGTTAACAGTTTTTTAGGGATGCAGTCCAGAGGCATTGAGAACATCCACATGGTTGTGCAATCTTTACCACTATCCATCTCCAGAATGTTTTTATCCTCCCATATGGAAACTGTCCTCATTAAATACTAACTCCCAATTATCCCCTCTCCCAGTCTCTGTCAACCATCATTCTACTTTCAGTATTTGTGAATTTGACTATTTAGGTCCCTCCCATGAGTAGAATAATGCAAGGTCCTTCTGTGACCAGTGTACTTAGTACTTAGCAAATGTCCTCAGGGTCATGCATATTACAGCAGGTATCAGAATTTTCCTTCTTTCCAAGGCTGAATAAGAGTCTGTTGTATGCTGGGCATGATGGTTCATGCCTATAATTCCAGCATTCAGGAGGCTGAGGCAGAAGGATCAAGAGTTTGAGGCCAGTAGCCCACAGAATGAGAGAAAAATCATTGCCAGCTTATGCATCTGACAGGATTAATAACCAGAATCTACAGGGCGCTCAAAAAACTAAACTTCCACCAGGCGCTGGTGGCTCATGCCGGTAATCCTAACTACTCAGGAGGCAGAGATTAGGAGGATTGTGATTTGAAGCCAGCCCAGGCAAATAGTTGGAGAGACCCTATCTTGAAAAAACCCATCACAAAAAAAGGACAGGTGTTGTGACTCAAGGTATAGACTCTGAGTTCAAGCCCCAGTACTACAAAAAAAAAAAAAATCAACTCCCAAAGAATCAATGACCTGATGAAGAAATGGGCAAATGAACTGAACAGAACTTTTTCAAATGAAGAAGTCAAAATGGCCAAAAAACACATAAAGAAATGCTCAACATCCCTGGCCATAAAGGAAATAAAAATCCAACCACATTAAGATTCCACCTTACTCTTGTTAAGAACACAAACAGCAAATGCTAGCAAGGATGCGGGAAAAAGGAACCCTCATACACTGTTAGTGGGAATGTAAGCTAGTACAACCACTATGGAAAACAGTATGGAGGCTCCTCAAAAAACTAAAAATAGGACTGCCATATGATCCAGCAGTTCCACTCCTAGGGATATACCCGAAGGAATGTGAGTTGGGTTACAACAAAGACACCTGTACATCCATGTTTATTGAAGCACTATTCGCAATAAGCCAAGCTATGGAAACAGCCAAGATGCCCCGTGACTAATGAATGGATTAAGAAAATATGGTACTTATGTATTATGGAGTGTTATTCAGCCATAAAAAATAATGAAATTTTGTCATTTGAAGGTAAATGGATGGAACTGGAGAACACCATGAAGTTAGCCATGTTCAGAAAGACAAAGGTCCCATGTTTTCTCTCATGTGGAAGACAGATCCAATACAAATACAAAACATTATCATATATACATATAAACATATAGAGAACATGTTTCCAAAAGTAGTACTGTTAGAGGAAGGAAGAAAAGAATGACAGCAAATAATGAAATATCACATCCGTGTAGAAACAAGACACAGCAGAGCACACAAAAACTGTTGAACAATACAGGGTAGGGAGAAAAGGGTAAGGAATAGTAATAGAGGAAATTAGATTAGTCAAAGTACAATATATTTAGGGTAAAATTCCAAGGTAAAAATCCCCCTCGAACAACAAATAGACACTTAAACAATGAAGGGCAGGAATGTAAAACAGGTCATGATAATGGGAGATAAAAGTGGGCGGGAGAGGGTAAATGAACAGGGTAAAGGAGGGTAAATATGGTTGATGTACTTTCTGTACATGAATATGGAACATTGAAACCTATTGAAGTTATCTTAAGAAAGGTGATGAGATAGGAGGGAGAACAATGGAGGAAATGAATCAACTTGGGGTATAATATATGTATATGTGGAAATGTTACAACAAAACCCACTCTGTAACTGTCATATACTAATAAAAATGTTTAAAAAATAAAAAACAAGAATATAGATGAAGTTAAGTACTTTCTCAAGATCAGAGATTTATTGACCCATGAGCCAGGATGTGAACCCAAATTTGCCTGGCTGCAGAGACTTTGCTTCTAACTACTGTTTTATTCTGCCTGCTACTCTATGTACTGTGCCCTGTTTGAAAAACTCTAAACCATTCTACAAATACACATTAATCTTAGCAATAATAGTAGTAGGAAAGGTTTTAAAAATCTTCAGGAAAAAAATGTAAATGAAAAATATGCAAGTGCCAATCTCTCTCACATTAGATATTAGCTGGAATTCAACTTTATCTAAAACCTGTGTGGGGGAGGGGGTGGGGGCAGGGGGGAGTAATGACCCAAGCCTTGTATGCACATATGAATAATAAAAGAAAAAAAAAGAAATGTAAAAAAAAAAAAAGGTTTTCCTTTTAAAAACATAATTGCATATTATGTCACAGTCGATGTGTAGAACACATTCATTGACAGGATGTAAACTATTAAAAGATTATTTTTAAAAAAATAAAACCTGTGTGGTTCAGTTTTATTTCTATTTAAAGATCTTATGTAATGGTATCAATAATTATTGATTATGATTATTGACATTACATTTATTTGTATGATGAAACTGATGGTGTGTGCATTTCAATAAAACCTAAGTTGATGTGCTGGAAAAAGGTTAGCCTCTTTTTAAAATATTGTTCCAAATAAAGTATACCAACATAAATTTTGAAAGCATTTCTTTAATTTTTAAATTTTAACACACCAATTCCAAAATGAGAGCAATCAAAACTACTGGTACAGTGTAAACACTTGAAAGATAATATTAACTTATGCTCCTGTCTCTGTACTTGTTGGCTGATGAAGTCTCTCAATTCAATCAATTAATTTTAACATTTAAACTGGATATACAGCTCTTGCATTATCAACTTTTTGCACTTGACAAAATTAAACTTTGTGTTTAATGTATAAGTTTAAAAAAATTCGAGGCCACTAGGCCACATAGCAAGACTATGTGGGGGGAGAGAGATTCTGTTGTATGCATGTATATACCACATTTTGTTTCTCCGTTCAGATGTTGATAGGCGGTTGGGTTGCTTCTAACTTTCAGCTATTATGAATAATGTTTTTATGAACATGGGTATAAAAATATTCCTGTATTCTATTCTTTTAGGATATATCCCCCAAAAATGGAATTACTGAATCATATGGTATTTCTTTTTTTAGCTTTTCTGAGGAAGCTCTATCTGTTTTCCACTGTGGCTGTACCATTTTGTATTCCCACCACCAGTGTACAAGGGTTCTGTTTTCTCCACATTCTTGCCAACACTTTTTTTTTATAGGAGCCATCCTAATGGGTGTGGAAAAGAGTAGACACATTTTAAAGAAGAAAATGTTAAAGGGTGACATAGTTAATGTCTCCTTAACATTTCAAGTAAAGTCCTCCTTAACCATACCATAATTTTTCTCCTGCTTTCAATCTTGATTGTACTTACCTGTATGTTTCTCTCTATTCAGATGTACCCATAAAATGTACAATATACAATAGTACTGGTGTTCAGATTGGAGACTGTAATTACATGGAGATTGGCGGAATGAACTCACAAGTAGACAGCACATGTACAAACTCAGTGGAACATTCAATTTCCAAGTACCAAGCTTTCTTTGGTAAGATGCTCTAAAAGGACCCAATTTGGGACTAGGAGAGGTAGCTCAGTGGTAGAGCCCTTGCCTAGCAAGCCCAAGGTCCTGAGTTGAATCCCAGGTCTGAAAGAAAGAAAAAGGACCCAGTATCTAACAGCCTTGAACTTTCATACCATCAAGAGGGAGATAGTGGAATCGTAAATGTTCTCTTATGATAACTTTCTCCCCCTGATAAAGCTATTCCACGTTTCATTGGTGATGTTTTTGTAATTCCTTTGTAATTTGTTTCTTCTTAATATGGGGAGAATCACAGAATCTAATTCTGTGAATGAGTCAGTATGTGTTAAGAACTAGAATACTGCCTGGCATGCAGAAGTATCTGCAGGAGTGTTAAACCTACATCACCATCAGTGCTACTACTCAGAGTTGGGAGAAATAGCTCCTGTAGGTCCACATCAAAGGGATAGAAGACTGTGCCCCCCTTCTGTAATAAAAACCAGACAGCTGTCTCATATAGGTGTCCACTAAGCAGCCCCAGAATAGAATTCCTGAGGCACAGACTGGGAAAGGCAGCCATGAAGCCAAAACCATGTGATTAAGAATCCAGTTTTCTGCCAGGCATTGTGGTGCATACTACATATGAGACCCTGTCTCAAAAACAAACAAAAAATAGAACCCCACTTTCTGATTAACCAAGGGTTGGGACATTTTTTTCTATGCAGGCCCAGAGGCCTCTCTTGGAACTGCTCAATACTGTCATTCCAGTATAGAAGTGCCACAAACAATATGTACATGGGGGAGCATGGTTGTGTTCCTATAAAACTTTAGGTATAAAATCAAGCAGGGGGCCAGATTTGTCCCAGAGGTCATAGTTTGCCAACCCTGATCAATTTGAAGGACAGCCTTTGAAGTACCTAGGACAAGAGGTCTTTAACTTTTGATGAACCAAAGGTACCATTAAGAATTGGTGACACCCAGGGCTCCCCTCCTAAAGAGACTGACAAACTATTTAGACATCTCAGGAGGTTCTTGGACCACTGACATGCAGTGGTGGTGACAACAGCATTATGGTACTGAAGAAAGAAGTGAGGGAGCTGAGTGGGGAAATGAGATGTCTTTCCTTACATTCAGCTTACTGAGATAGGATGAGAACCAAGGAATATGGTTTTTTTGTGTGATAGTTCTGTATGTTTGTTTTCTTTACTAATTATTTTTATGGATGGCTAATGGGATGGAGCCAGTAAGTAGCAAGACAGAGGTTATGACAATAGGAGAAGAAGAGATGGTTTGCAGAAGGGAGAGAAAGGGCATGGACGAGTCTAAAGGACTGAATGGATGGATACCTCATCCACTGAGAGAGAAGGGCCGTCATTATAACTGCATGAGGCTCATACTCGATATCCTGGACTGAGTTAAGAGGAAAGTGAACTGTCTAGAGATGGGTGTCAAAACATATATAAGTGAAAAATTGCCCAAAAGAACAAAACTCCTTTTTCCTGTTACATCCAGGAAGGTCTAACATAAACAAGGCCATTAGCTAGGGTTGAATAGAACACCCAACGTAGTAGCCACATAGGAGCTTTGTTCACAAAGCCATCAGCTGGGCTCAGGGGTGCATCTGCCAGAGGAAGAGGTGCCCTAGTCTAAGTCACATAAAGACTCCTTACAAGGCAGGTCAAGTATTCAGTGAGTCAGTAACTCTGTAATTAAGAAGTTATCTTTTTCACTGTCTTCTGGGGCTCTTGTGTTTTTCAGCAAAACAGGAAGCTAGAATCTTCAGATGACTTACAGCTATCTTCTTTTTTCTATTTGGCAGATAATACCACGAGTCTGACTGATAAACACTTGAATCCAGTCAGGGACAACCTGGGAAAGAAGTGGAAAAACTGTGCCCGTAAACTAGGCATCCCTGAATCTCAAATTGATGAAATTGACCATGACTATGAGCGAGATGGGCTAAGAGAAAAGGTCTACCAGATGCTCCAAAAGTGGTTGATGAGGGAAGGCAAAGGGGCCACAGTGGGAAAGCTGGCCTGGGCGCTCTACCAGTGTTCCCGAATAGATCTTCTGAACTACTTGATACACGTCAGCCAGAACTGACCCTGCAGGGGCTTTGGTAGCATTAAGCAAACTCCTCTTAGTGAATAACCCACTGGGAAGCATTCTGTCTCAAAGCATTCAACATTCTGTCCTCACTGATGTGGATTCTGTGTCTGCATATGTATCGTCTCGTGCATTTCAGAACAGGAGAATGCAAAGAGAAATCCACAGTGAACAACCTACTTTCAGGAAGCCTAAGCAGGAAGACCTCTGAATGGCCCAGGACCAATTTTTAAAAAAGAAGAAGCCTAACCCAGTTTTAAGAAGGAGAAAAGAGGTACAGTAGATGTTGGTATCTGCAGGTACATGGTTCCTAGGATACCACCATCATGGAAAAACTGTACGTGCTCAAGATGCATAGAGTTCAGTGCTGTGCTGCAGACTCTTGATTCGTTTCCCATGATGCCGCCCAGCTTCCTCTAAAGACAGGCCACCTTTCAACAAATCTCAGATTTTCACTTTTTCAGTAGAATTAAGCACATTACCTTTTACCTTGCCTTTTTTGGACATGATTGCTTTTGGGGAGGCAGATTTTTCACATAATGAGGGGCAGAAAAACCACAGATCCACACAATGATTTAAACCCAACTGGCAATAACATGGGACTGACTGAGAGCTTCTATGTATCCAACTGAGCTGTGAAACGAGGGGGAGGGGATTTGAAAATTTTGGTTTTGCGATTTCTTTTGGTATTTTTTAATTTATTATTTTTTGACTGTGCTTGGCCAAAACTGTATGTAATAAATCTTCATGTAAGGGGGTATATTATATAGAAGAAAAATCATTCTGTGTCAGGTCATACTGTAATTATCCTACTCATTCAGCTTCCTGAATGAGAAAAAAAATTCAGAGAATGTAAAATAAACCAACTGCCTTATTTTGTACAGTATAATTCTAAGTTCTATTCAAGTAAATTTTTTCTTATGACAGTCATGGTTCTTCCCAAAATTGTAAGATCTGTTAATTTCCGTATCAAATGTTGTATCAGTCATTACAGGCTTTAAGAGTCATGTGCAGTTCTAATCCATTACATCAAATTATAAATCAGCTGGGGGAAATTTAAGGCGTGTTAGCAGAAGAAAAAAAATACAGGGGGAAATTGTAATGTTTTCCTGATACTTACTGCAAAGAAATGTTAATTGTGAATACTACAAAAATTCTTGATTAATTTTGGGTTCTTTCCTAGCATTCTAGTACTTTATGGAGTTTCTCAACCAGTGTGCCCTGCACAGGGACCAGGCATGCATACCTGCGTTCATTTTCTTTTCTGTGTACCATGAAGTAAAAAGTGACAGGTTCCGAGTTGGAAAATTGTGCCTCTGAGCACTCAACCTTTCCCAGGTCCACCTGCAACCCAGGAACAAATGAAAGAACTAGAGCAGAGTAATGAAGCCACCTGGGCTACCCAGCGTCTCTGCTGGCTCTCTACTAAACAGAGGACTTGCCATTGAACTTAGCTCTCCCAGGGTGGGAGAAGGGAAGGGCCCAGTGATGATCAGAAGAGATTCTGGTGTCTTGGGTTGATAATGGTTGGTTCTGATTCTGAATCCCCTCCAGCCTCAGCAAACACACACACACAACACACACCAGAAGTAGGGCTGCAAAGGAGGTTTCTCCACTTGGGCTCCATTGGTATCTCGAGTCGGATATTCCTTGCTGTGGGGGCCGAGCTGTGCTTGTAGGACATTTGGAAGCTCCCTGGCCTCTAGTGTCATTTCCTTCTCCTCCCACCCTCAGACAAAAATGTCTCTGCACATTGCCACGCAATTCCTCGAAAGGGCACTGTTGCCAGCAGGGAGGAGTTCTGTATGTAACAGGCCAGCCTCAGTTTAGCTGCCACACAGCCTTTGTGCACACAGTCGATGACAAACTGTAGCAGGGAGGTGTCCAGACTTTGCTGGAGGAGTCTGGGTATTTTTAAACGGGTTCCTGTACCCCCATTCTAACACATCCTAAATTCTCTGAGATCCCAGAGAGGCTGAATAATCAATGTTAGAGACACATTGGAAGGTGTTGTTAATGGATTTTTTAAAATAAAGGTTTATACTTCAGATACAGGCCATTGAAATGATGTGTGCATTTGCATAAATGAGGCAGCCTGCCTGCCTCTGCCGCTCAGGTTGGCATGTTCTGCGCAAACCCCCTTCACTCTTCTGCTGCTGGCAGAAGAGGGGAAGCTGGTGATGAAAAGAGGCTCCCAGACTGCGCCTTGGCTCCTGGGGATGAGAGGCCTCAGCATTGCTGTCCCTCCAACGAGGCTCAGAACCTTTCATTCACCCCCACTCTAAGCACCGCCCAAAAAGAGCCAGATTTTCCACTGAGGAGTTTCCATACAGAGCCAGAGCCCCACTACTAGCCTTGGGCAGAAACCGAGTAAGCAGGGAGACTCAGACTGGAACGTGCGAGAGCAGATGGTCCCCACCTGGTTCTAAGCACAGATTTTCCTCTTGCTGTGGCCATAGTCTTTGCCTTTAGTCTGTCGTGAAGTCAGGACTTCAGGAATAAGAAAAGGAGCTCTTCTCACAGAAGGTTTTAAACAATACTTTGAAGTACATCTTAGTGTGTTATTTATAAAGAAAGGTTTTTCTGATTATAGTACTAGTGTAAATAAAAGTAGTTTAAATGTCCAAGATTCTGGAAGCAGCTGATTACAAAGAAACCAAAGGGCTGACAGTGAGATCTGTAATTTGTGATAGTCCAAGACAATATCGTGAAATTAAGCAGTGCAAATGCTACTCTTCAGCTGTGTGGCCCAAGACTTGCTTCCTCATTCTCCTGGCTTCAGCTTCTTCATCTGCAAACGGGGCAGTAGGACACAAGGCTGACTGAGGATTGAAACAAGGTGGTGCATCACAGGGTGGCTGGCACAAACGTGACAGTTGTTCTTTAAACTGCACAGTGGTTGTTTGGGTATACAGTATTCCCACCCCCAAAGGCTCATGTGTTCAGGCTTGATCCCCAACTGGTGGACCTAATCTTCAAGAGGTGATTAGATGATGAGAGCTCTGACTTCATCAATAATTAATCCAGTGATGGATTCATGCTCCTTGGCCACCATGAAGTAGCAGCCTCTGCCACACTCCTGCTGCCATGATACTCTGCCCTGCCTCAGCCCAAAGTAGTGGATCCAACTGACCTCACACTGAAACCTCTGAAAGCATGAGCCAAAACCAATCTTTCCTCCTTTTAAACTTTGTCTCAGGTATTTGTCACAGTGATGAAAAGCTAACTCACACAATCTACATAAGTACGTCTTAAGGACGTACTTCATAGATTCTGACACTAGTACCCTAAAAGCTTACTGCTTCCATCTGCTTAGCAGTAGGGCAGCTGGTGTTGAAATTGTACACATTGCTATTTTTCACCATCATCTCTCTTAAGAAATCCCAAACTATATTTCAGGAAAAAATAAGGATTTTTCCAAAGATTTGCAACAATCAGGTGATGTTAAAGTCACTTCCAACATTAAATATTTCTCTTTCCGCCTACACAGAAATGAACCGGATAGGCAGATGTGTGCAGGAGTAGAATGTAAGCATTTTTGCAAATTCTACCTTTAGACCAAACCTGCTTTTCCTGCCCTTACTGCAATGGGTCAATGAGGACACTGCAGGTTAATAGAACTGTTCATGGCAGTGACGCTTCAAAGCACTGAGCATACAGGATGGTTACAATAGAAGGATCTCTTGAAGGAAAAATAACCCAGTATATAAGGAAATGGTGCAAAGCATTGTCCAGGCTATACCAGTGGCCACAACTCTGCGGTTATTACCATTTGAGGTAGGCTAGAGTGATAGCCATACCTTAAGGATAATTGAGGGTTTTTTCTTCACTACTCTAGGCAGTACTAGAGTTTGAACTCAGAACCTCACACTTGCTAGGTAGGTGCTCTACCACTTGAGCCACACCCTCAAGCTCTTTAAAAATTGTGGTAAAATCCATATAACTTTTACCATATTAACTTTTTGTATGCGTTTTGTTTTGTGGCAAGGTCTTGCCGTTTAGTCCAGACTGGCCTGGAACTTGAGATCCTCCTGCCAAAGCCACCTCAATGCTGGGATTATAGGTTTGTATTACCATACCCAGCTTCATCTTAACTTTTTAAGTGTACAGTTCAGTGGCGTTAATATATTCACATTGCTATGCAGACATCACCTCTATCCATTCACAGAACTCTTCATCTTGCAAAGAGTTTAAGGACTTGAAACCATGAATGTGAAAGGCCTGGAACATAATAAATGTAACTAATTAGCAGGTACGATTAGGAACGATACAAATATTGGATATATAAGTAAGAACACAATATATACAAGAAATAAAAATAGGCTATCAAAACTCATCAAATTCAAGCCTTGGGGTAGCTAGCACAGTATTAGAGCTAATGCTTACTTTATAAAAAATAGCTGAGCATAAACTTGAGGACTTTCAAAGCGACAGTGTGTCTTGTTCAGTAGCCCCATTTTTATCAGTAAGCAAAGTGTGAGGCTGACTTCAGGTGCTCCTCTTGGCACGGCAGACTACCTAATCTTTGGTCTTCACTTCCTCCATGGTAACATTAGATCAAACCTAATGTGCACCTCAGTGAAAGTAATGGCATGGAAAGGTCTCAGCAGACAGAGTGCTGACAGCTAGCGACAAACACTGGATTTAGTTTAATTATTTTCCCCAAGTTGTGATGTCCTTGCCTCCCTCCGCCCCCACATGGTCTTTCCCTCTTTAAGGGGAGCAGCTCCGCACCCCCAGGACCCTTGTGGTGTTCCTTGCCTGCTTCCAGTTTACAGAATTGCCCACCCGGCCTCCCAGAAAGGGACTCGAGGACAAATGCAGGAGGAGGCGTGCCTTGGGGGAGCTGTAGGAATTCACTGATAAGACTCCTTATCAATCTTGGTTGCCTGCTGGGATCTCCTGGGTAAATTAAAATTGTGGTTCCTTCCTCCACTTCAGAGGCTTTGATGGAGTACAGCCTGGGCACCAGAAGGTGAGAAGTTTGGCAGATGATTCAAATCCAAGTTCGAGCTGCAATGACGCAGTGAGAGGCAGGGCACATACAGGCCAGGTGGCAGCATGGAGATGTTGTGAAGGCGGGTTGAAGTTGGTGACTTGCACCTTCACCAGGGACTCCTCTGCCCCAACTTCTCTTTCCTAAGACTCCACGCACTACATAGTAAGTGCTAGTAGAAGGTTAGTTGGCCCCCTCCTGCTAGCCTCCAAGCTACCAGAGGACATAGCTTTCACGCCCAGCAGGAAATAGCTGTTCAGGAAGCACATAAATGAATGGTACGGTAGAGTTTTACTGGTTTTGAAAGCAGCTCCCAGGGGTCTGCCCCAGATTTATTGAATGCCTCTCAAAGTTGTCCTGGGGTGGGGGTGGGGCATGGTAAATCTCCACAAGAGATCTTAATAAACACATCTGCTTCAGAACACCTGGGTTAGAGAATTAGAGAAGAGGTTATTAGGAAGGGAGAAGGGTTGGAGAAGACAGATTAAGAGCCAAAGGCAAAGGGATGACTTTTTGTTCTAAGTACTCCAAAGTTTTCTATCTTTTTTCCTGCCTGAGCATTGGGAAAGTTTTATCTTGAATATAGTTCAAGTAGTAAAGCAGATGTTAGGCCACCAAAGCCCTGGTCTGCAGGGCCTACCCACAATTGAGTCCAAGCCTGAGTGCTGCTCTGAGAGGCATCCTTAGGCTGGAGCAAAAACTCTGTGCTCATTTGGGCTCTTGTATTTCTGTGGAAATAAATCAGCTGTCAGTAACACTGTTATCTTTAAAATAAACCTTTTCCTTATATTTGAAATTGATTTGCTTTTGCTCATAAATAGTCCTCTATCTCCACACACACACACTTTCAGATTCATGAAAAGTGTGGCAGCCTCCATTAACCCCAACGGATGGTGTGGGGAGTGGATTGTGAGAAGCCTAGGAGAATTTGGCATAAACACAGCTGTGTCAAATAGTCTGCAGGCTGAGTTTGGCATGGCACCAGCTGCAGAAGAGAGGAAGGCAAAATGCAGCACAGCTGCTTTTCCTAAGTTGTTTACATTCAGAGAGAGAGCAGGTTTCAATGTCACGCCCCTGTTGCTCCACCTCCTTGTTTACCACTGTATATAAAAGACCCACTGAAGGCGGACTGGGTGATTGGATTAACTGATGGGATTGGATTGGAGAATGAATTGATTGGTTGCTGCTTGTGAGGGGCAGAAGCTACTGCCAGGGCAGCTTGTGAGAATGATGCTGCTGCTGCTGCTGGCTGTTTGTGTGTCTGCGAGTCTAAGGACTGAGACTTTAACAGCATAGGACAGTGCAAGTCTGAGGGCCAAGACGTTAAGAGAGATTAAAGAAAACATGGGACAGTGCGAGTCTAAAGAAAAAGACTTTGAAGAATAGAAAAGAAGCAAGGTTTTAAAGAAAAGTAAAGAAGTAAGGCCTGGAAGAATAGAGAAGAAAAGAAGCAAAGGAAAAGAAGAGAATAATAGAGAAAAGAAGTAACAAGACCGTTGTGCAT